GGTGTCTCAAAAAAACCGCTACCCTTGGAAATTCACCATTGTTCTAATTTGAATGCCTGAGTGCTATCTTGAACTCATGGGTGCATGAACAATTTGAATGGAATTTTATGCTTGAGAAGTTATTGAAAAGTTTCTGGTTTTGTTCAGCATATGACTGATTGATTTAAACGCAACAAAAATACGTAAGTCAAACAAAACGTTGTTTATTTTTACAATTATTAAGCACCTCGTCCTTCGACGTGGCCCCCATTTCTCTCAACACAAAGTAATGTTCGTCTATGCATATCACGCACAGCTCGGCTAATGAGGGCAGGCTGTTGTCGTAAAGCATCAAACTCTTCGATGATTCTTTGGCGTAACGCATCAATATCGTGTGGTGGAGTGGCAAAGATTTTGTCTTTGAGATATCCCCAAAGGAAATAGTCACACGGTGTTAAGTCCGGTGAGCGAGGAGGCCACTCAACATTGCGACCTAACCCTATGATGTGGTTATTTCCGAAGACTTCGTTCAGCCGATCTCTTACTTGAATGAGACGATGTGCTGGAGCGCCGTCTTGTGCCCACCAAAGACCCCGAAACAATCCTTCCCAATATTGATTGTTGAAATGCACAGCGAGATTCGGGAAAACAAATTCGTTAAGCATTGCAAGATAGGAATGTCCGTTAACATTTTGTTCGAAAATGTAAGGTCCAACAATTAAACCATTTCCGCAGAGTCCTGCCCAGACAGTCAGTTTGGCACGGGAATTGTTCCTTTCAAAATTGAATGCAGGCGGATGTCCTTTAGGTGCATATTCACGAACATTATGTGAGTTCACTTCACCATTAAGGGCAAATCCTGCTTCATCTCTTATTAGTAGACTGTCCAAGAAATGTTCGTCTCGGCAGCGTTGATTCAACCATTCTGAGAAGCGTAACCGGCGTGGGAAGTCGCCTGCTAACAACTGGTGTCGCACAAACATTTGATATGGGTGCCATTGCAGGTCAAGCCTTGTTATTCTGTTAATTAAAGCTTGCATGTGAAATTTGAAGAGGATTTCGGCGAGCACTCACACGTGGTGTTTGCTGGAGCAGAGCTCTAACAGCGTCAACATTTTCTTCAGATCGTGTGGTTCGTCTCCTACCAGAATTACCTTTATTAAGGTTAAGACTCGATCCAGCGTTCGTGTATTTTCTTACGTTGCTTAAAATTGTTGGTTTAGCAGGTGGATTCCGATCAGGAAACCTTTCTCGAAAAAGGTTTTGGACTGCGACTAGACTTTGGGTTCGCGTATAATTTAAGACAATAATTACTCTTTGCTCTGTGCTCAGTTGAGCCATTTGCTTGACATTCACTAATATGTAATTGAACGATTTTCGTGCAGTTATACTTTTGTATCAACCTACTTTCAATTCCCAGGATAAACAATTTCGCTTTTCAAGGATATTTCAATTCCGAAGATCTTTAATATATGCATCCTGTGAAAATGTTTACGCATTCATGGCTTTAACAAGGTTCAGGCATTCAAATTAGAACAATGGTGAATTTCTAAGGGTAGCGGTTTTTTTGAGACACCCTGTATATCACGTGTTGTAGTAATTCGATCTGGTTCACACAAAGACCAAGCGCCAAGTTCAATCCTTCGGGAGCAAACATTCAAAGGGGAATGATATTTATTCAAATTTTCTACTTATAAAGTTCCAAAGACCTAATAAGATACATGGAATTTGTTTTCAAAGGTATGTTTATTGTGTATTTACTTATTTATGTGCGGAAAGTTACTTGATATACTGTATAGTTATATTTTTAAATCGAAGACGAAGGCCTGTATTTTAGTCGCTTCGCCGCCGATTTGCCGATCTAGACGTTCAGTTTTAATTTTCGATTAATTTGTATTAGCAGAAGTCCATAAGTCTAATCTACAGTCTCTACTTATATGTGTTGTTAGCCCCGTTTACACGAGCAAATTTTATTTGACAAATTTCATTTCATCAAAAGCATTTGTTGTTCAAATGCATTTGTCACAATAAATTTGTCACAAATTTATCATCTACACGAGCAAAATATCTCTGACATATGAAATTTGTCAAATAAAATTTGCTCGTGTAAACGGGGCTTTATTTGTGTGATATACATGTATGTTTTATTTCGTGTTAAATATTATACTCTAATAATATATATGTGATCTGTTTGAAATGCAGTCACATTTGACAGCATTGCAATAGCCCATCTAATATTACCCAGTGTATGACTTGTGTTTGCTATGGTAGCCCTCCTATCGGCTATCAGTCAGCTTAAAACATGTGTAAGGGGCTGCTTATATAGAGGCGAGCCACCCAGGTAACCTGGCTATAGCTCGCTTTCCCTGGATGAATGTCTGGTTACATGAGCCTCTTTAGATGGGCAGGCTTGCCAAAACAAATCACCCAGACTAAGTTATATAGTACAAGCACATTTCCCAATAAAGTGAATCAACAACTCAACAAGTGATCAATCACTCATACTTTTGCAGACAGTCTCGAAATGTATAAACTGACAAAAACAATCAGAGAGATCTTTTTACCCAGCTGGGCCCAGGGGTAATACCGTGCCAAATCGTGGGTGATTGTATATAATTTACTGTTTATTTGAAATTGAGGCCACGGGCTATTTTTGAGAAAATACATTTCAAAGTCAAGCTATTTTTACATATTTTCAAAATTTGTCAAATTTCGCCCAGGGTGCATTCCATGTAGAGTGCACGCCGAAGTTTCGCCGCTGGCAAATTCGCACACGCCGCCAGACTGCCAGATTCAATTAATCTATATTTTGGCAAAATTTTTCGGCGACCTCCTCCCTCCCTCGCCAAAAAAATTTCGGTCAGTGTGCCAGTTTAGGGGTCAAAAATTTTTCCCGACATCTCAAAAGTTTTCGTTGCATAAAACAATTTTTCCCGGCATTACCAAATTTTCTCCATTTATCCAACTTTTTTCTCTTAAATCCGAAAATTTGGTACAATTCTGTAAAATTTTTGTCAATTTAGCTCATTCTTCTCTAGCCTGCGTAGCAGGCGGTATTCACAGGCACGAGAGAATGGGAAGCTTGAAATACCGCCTGCCCAAAAACTACACATTCTGAGTTCTCCCCGGCAGCTGGGTGCCGGAGCATTCTGATTGGTCAGAATGTTGATTTTCAATTTTTGATTGACAGGAGTAAAGAATTAGAATAATTAGTGCTAATTTTAGAAGTTACTGTTGCCGTATTTATAATATAAACTATTGTTATTTTCGTAATTGATACCGATATATCGAGTGATGGCATACACTAACCAAAAAATAACGAATGTATTAATTAAGAATTAAGCGTTGAATTCTTTAATCTTTATCTGGAATCGGAAATCGCTTCGCTTCGTCTTGAAGAATGAACAACGAATATCAATCCAACATTTGTTGCTTGAGCGATGTGATACCGTGATAAAAGTGCAGATTTGAAGATACAGGCTCGTAAATCACACTCTAAGTAGTGTTTTTGATAGCGATTGGAACAAGACTATTACAAAGTTACGTCCGAATTCGAAGGGGCCGAAGTTATGTTCGGCGAAATGTATGGCTAGTCTATTATATTTTTGTTCAGACAATTGCGTAATTTGATAATACACGAACTCGCTTGACTTTCAAAGCTCATAAATCGCTATAATGTTGACATTGACTAAAACTATCGCTATAAATGAGGACATATTGTTACACTGAATCGAACGTGGCATTTTTGTCTTCATAGCATTGAATGAACCGAAGATATGAAACGTCAGGCCTGTTCTAAACGTCGCATTTTACATGTGCCGAATGCATTCAAAACAATAGATAATCAGCTGAAATGCCTCATTATGCATTGGCATTGTTTTCAATGCATTCGGCGCATGTATTAAAACGCGACGTTTAGAACAGGCTTCGAAGCCGTATATTTGCACTGGTGCAAATACGTGAGTTTGACAAATAATTAAAATAAAACATTAAGATGGGCGGGAACATGCGTTCGGTACTTCGGTGGGCGGAACTCAGAATGTGTAGTTTTTGGGCAGGCGGTATTTCTAGCTTCTACCGATAAAACAGACACAATAAAACACGAGTCGCAAGTGTATTGAACGGCTTCAAAAACCAATTAGTATTCTTTATATAAGGAATACTAAGTAGGAAGTGTTTTATCAAATATGAAACCACTGCATCAGTGCATGTAACATTATACTTGATTTGGTTGGCAAAAAAGAGCATGAAACTGTTAAGTTATCCGATAAACAATAGAGACTTAACGACGATATTTTCTGATTGTATTATATTAAGTTTGTACGCCGTTGAGGGAAAAAAACAGGCTTTCTTGCCATCCTACTTTTCCTACTTTTTCCTACTTTTTCCTACTTTTCTTCAACTTTCCTACTTTTCCTATTTTTTATTAAAAATTGCTTGATTTTCCTACTTTTTCCTACTTTTTCTCATATAATCCTACTTTTTTAAGACAGCTTGGAGGATCAGTATGTTATAGCTCTCGTAATTAGATCTATATAGGGCTCGTAATTTTTATTCCCTATTTGTGTCACAGATGATAAGATCTCAGGAGGAGAAGAAGTACATTTTCTGAGTATATAATTTCATAGCATCTCTAGAATCATAATCAATAAATTAATGAAGACTCTGAAAGTGCCATTTCCGACGATCTAGAGATTCCAAGTATTCAACTCCCCCCCCCCTCCCCCCTCAGTTAATCAAGCATCATATATACAGGGCCGTAGCAACCGGGGGGGGGGGGCTGCAGCTCCCCAATAATTTGTTAATAATAATTTTTTTCAAAATCATGCAGACCTTTATCATTTAATCCATGACATGCAAACTGCAAAGAATGAAGATATTACCCATACTTTCCTGCAACTTATCGAACACATAGTTAATTAAATACGCCTTCGCCCATTTAGCACTGCTACATTGTAAATTTCGACACACTAAAACGCTGTTTTCTGACCATTAGAAGTCTGTCAAATCTTCCCCAAAGTCCAGGAAATGGCATTTCAGAGACTCTAAATTTAAAAATTTCCTCGGACCTTCGGCCCTCGCTTTCAGCCCCCCACCCCCAATCGAAACGAGCTTCCTACGGCCCTGATATACGCTCCTGCCGTAGTGTGGATTGGTGCATTGTGTAGCCCATGGGATACATGTATTTGAATTGTGTTGCTGCAGAGCAGAACTGGAGCAGAATGAGCAAATGCCTTAGCTTTTATACCGATGCAATTTAAAAGTTTTGAGAAAAAAATCCTGCATAGATGAATGAGTACATAAAAATATTGAGCACCAAAAATTCACACAACTTCCCATCAGATATCTAATGGTCTACCCCTTACCACATATATCCTAGGGGGCCAATTTTGTATATTTTTGTGTTATTTGCATCTCCAAAACTCCTACTTTTGTCCTACTTTTCTACACATTTTCCTACTTTATTCCTACTTTTCCTAAAATTCTAGTCCTACTTTTGCCCTACTTTTCTGCACAAGGATGCCAGAAAGCCTGAAAAAAGGACTACGCCGGCACGCCAACATTAGCATTTGCACGCCGCTGCGCCGTACGGCATCAGCCGTAGGGCAAGCTTGTATTTTGAACTTAGACAGCTGAAGTTACATTAAGAAACATAGGATGGAAAATTTGAGGCATATAAAGTTAATTTCAACTTACATTTCATTCTCATATCACGTCTTTCTTTGTTTATTACGGTTTTAAACAAGCCACAGATCGACGTATATGGTATTTACTCCCATGTTCACGTCGCTATATTAACTTCTTCCAATCACTCGATTACAAAACAAATCATCCCAAAACAAAGAATTCATAGTCGACTTTCAAAAGAATAACCGTTAATTTGTAAATCGTTGAATGGAAAGCAAAAAATCGTCAGCTAAAACAGCTTCTTGCTAACTTTCTGCTTTGTTTTGAATGTAAATGCAATGAGCTTTGTTTCTGCCCGCGATTTATTGGTCAGCGACGACAAATTTCCCACCTGTTGGCTTTTAGTAGAAAATGAAGGTGATAAACAAGCTAGACTTAAGAAAGCTAGTGAGTATAAAAAAAGAAAGCAGTCAGAGGAAACTGACAGTGAGCGGCAAATAAGACTTCAGTGAGTTTATTAAACAGAAACGTTCAGAGGAAACTGACAGTGAAAAACAAATTAGACTTTAAAAGGATTGTGATTCTAAAAAAACAAAGCGGTCAGAGAAAACTGACACCAGCAAACAAGTGAGGCTTGAGAAAGATAGACTTAATAAAAAACAAAAGCGGGAAAAAAAAGTGTCACAGCCTCAACATGAAGTATTAAATCAACAGGACTATTTAAATATGTTTGACAGAACCAAAAATGGTGGTATTGAAGAACAATGTTGGGCTAAGGCTAACATTAATAAGTTTAGTAAGTCTGTACAATACATTGTCAGTCAGTGTACAGAATGTCAGGAGGCATGGCCCTTAAATCTAAACCAAGGACACTACCTTATGTGTGTTCACGATGCTTTAGAGATAAAAAATCTCCAAAAAAATTTTCTTGTGAAAATTCAATGATACATTCATGTGTTCCACATGAACTGCAAAATTTAACACAGATTGAGGAAATGTTGATTGCTCGTGCTTTGCCTATCATGAGAGTTTATATATTAAACCTGGTGGTCAACGAGGTTTTTCGGGGCATTGTATTAACCTGCCACAAAATGTCAAAGAACTTGCAATGTCTTTGCCAAGATATCCTAAAGACTTAGCTGTGATTATTGTCAAGGCTAAAGGTAGAGAAAACACATTCAGAGATGTGACTGTGCGAAAGCAAAAAGTGCACAATGCTTTAGTCAATCAATAATAATCCACATTATTCTGAGCTTTTAATTAATGAAGATGCATTAAATTCCTTACCTGAAAATGGTGTACCACCAGGTCTCATATGACTGTTGAGACTGATGATGATATAATCTCAGATGGAAATTGTTCTCCTGATGTAGGTCCTCCTACTGATAATCCATCAGAGGATATTGTTTATAATGACTCTACTGAAATGAGTAGTTTTTTACCTGTTGGTGAGCAACAACAACAGGAAATTGAAGCTGTTAGAAATCAGCTGTCTGAAAATGAGCCAATGCCATGGCCCGCGGTTGAAAATGAGCCAATAAATGAGTATCAGATATCACATCTGGCCACAATGGCTTTCCCAACATTATTTCCAGATGGGAAAGGTGATCCTACTAATCAAGCTGAAATTATTGATGGTAAGTGGGTATACCGTTTTGCTAACCACCCCAGATTTTCTTATTGGGCTTTTAACATGATTCAAAGAAAACGAATTTTACAACAAAGTGGAATATTCCTCAAACAGAACCCAGGAGAAGCTCATCTCACAATTGATGAACTGCGTGAAATGGCTGCCAGTAACAATGCTAGTGTATTTATGTCTAAAGTGTCGAGATATATTGGCAATATTGCAGGTACTAATGCTTACTGGAATAGAGTAAGAGAGGAACTCAAAGCTATCATAACTAGTGTTGGAGCACCAACATTATTTTTCACTTTCTCCTCTGCAGATATGCATTGGCCTGAGTTACATGCTTTATTTAAAACTGATACTGACAATGAGTTAGGTAACTCTACTAGTGATGTAAGACGATGAAATGTGATCAACAATCCCCATGTTGTAGATTGGTTTTTCACCCAAAGATTAGAAAGCTTTGTAAAACACTGGCTTTATGATACACTTGGTGCAAAATGGCACTGATTTCGATATGAATACTAAGGTAGAGGTAGTATCCACTGTCATGGTACTGCTAAACTAAATAATGACCCAGGTTTGTGTCAACTTACTCAGACTGCTTTGAAAAATTTCTTAGCTCAAAAATTTAAAGATGAAAATGATTGTTCTGACACAACTGAACTAGACCAAGTTATTGAAGCTGGGCAGAAAGCAGCTGACACAGTATGTCAGTATGTTGATTGGTTATTATCAACCGTCAATCCTAATTCACCAGATGAGGACATGTGGATAAGACCTGAGATTCATCCATGTCAAAGAAGTCATGACATTCCTGAACATGAAAAACAATCAGATTATGTAGATCTATTAAACATGGTTCAACGACACGCTCGTTGTAGTACGAGTTATTGTCTTAGAAAGAAGTCAAATGAAACAGAGTTGAAATGTAGATTTCATTTCCCTTTTGATATTTGTCCTAAGACAAAATTAGAATTTGAAAAAATTCATACTTCAGGTGATAATGAGCATTATCGAGCTAAGATTGTGACTAAACGAAATGACTCTAGATTAAATAACCATCAACAACTTCAGCTCCAAGGATGAAGAGCTAACTGTGATATTCAAGTTGTTATTGATCACTATGCTTGTGTTGAATATCTCACAAAATATGCAGCTAAAGGTGAACCAATATCACCTATCTTGAAACAGGCATTCAATTCTATTGTGCAAAATGTTGACAGTAATACTGACCCTCGTAGAGTTATTAAAAAGGTAGATATGAAATCTCCTGGTGAAAGAGATTATGCAGCTCAAGAGACCATGCATCATTTGTTGTCTTTAAAACTCCACAGCTCATCCTTTAAAGTGATGCCAGTTAGTCTACATGGTTCACGTAGAGTGCGTGAAGACAATTACTGACAGTTCCGCCTACGTAAATATATTGTGTAGGATTTAAAGTTTTTTGAGCAAAAAGCGATATTGTTCTGGCAACAATCACGAGCATACATTTAAATATGAAAATCCGAAGTACACTTATAGTATATATAGTAATTATTGCATGTTGTAATTTCGATCTTTTTTAAACAAACCTGAATAATAAACCTGACTGCCTGCATGTGGTATTAAAATATACAAATTAATCTATGACACTGTGCAATATGAAATCATTTTCTACTGTCAGGTTCTTTTGATTTTACTTAACTCCTCAACTTACTCAAAATAGCTTTGGCATATTTAAGCTTGTTTCTCAAAAGTTGAGCATGTGAACATGCAGCTATATCCTTTTCAGTGGCAACTTTGCAGTTGTTGTTTATAAAGAAATCTCTCTCCCATTGACTAAGCTTGACTCTTGTTTCTCGCTGTTGTTTTGAGACACGGGTTTCCATCACAGCCACTTTTCTCATGAACGCGTCATAGTAAAGTTTGTCAGCGGGGAACTGTTTATACTTTTGTCTGGCTTTATCAAACTGCAGAACTTCATTCGTCTTGCCCATCACAAACTCAATTGCTTTCCCTAATTTTGTTACACATCCCACGGAATTTTCAGCTTGGACTTTGCAGTTGATACCAGAATAATCATCTTTGTTTACTGTTGTAGGATGTCTCAGTGTTGTTTCTAGCTCATTACCTACTGAACAGGCAGAATCTGTAATGAACATAAACATACAATTAATGTTTACTAATTAAGGTTATTTATAATTCTGAGATAATACTTACTGCCGTACCATACAGATAAGCCAGAAACTCATTGTACATCTTTATACACTATAGCTGACAGGGCCGTGGCTAAAACGATAATTGGGGGGGGGGGAGTATATTCATATATTTGTGTTCTGCAAGATGGAATTCTTTTGATTGTTTTATGGTATGTAAACATGCATGCATGAATATATGAATATACACCACCACAATTATTTGTCTAGCTACGGCCCTGATAGCTGATGTGCTATAGTTATGGCTATATACAGTAACTAGACCTCTGGAGAATTCTTTACCTATTGATACTTCTGTACAACCATGTTTCTCACTATTAGCACTTGAATCAGGCATTATACTGCTTGTGTTATCCTTATCAAGCTCAGCAGGTTCTAGATCAAAAGTGTTAAATGAATTATCTAGGTGGAATCCAACAATTTCCGGTTCAGACTCTTTGTTCTGTCGACATTGTTCATCTGTGCCTGGCTGTTCTTCCATGTTAGATTGTTCTTCAGCCTGCTGTTCTTCATTAGCCGCATTGTCATTGACAACCGTATTACCACATGGTGAGGTAATCACAATCTTAAGCTGACCATGCTCATCTTCAACTCAAATGGCCTTTATTGGAAGGATAACACCATTTGTTAAGCATTGCTTCCAACAATCGATAAGGTACTGTTCCTCAACACAAAAATTGCTGGACCGAAAGTGGTGAAGTAAAGGACCTTGCGCACTTATATTTGATTCTTTTTCCCCATCAAGAAATTCAGTATCACCATCCTCATGCTCAACCCACCAGATTCCTTTACCTGGCAGGAGAAAATCACTAACTCTTTCAAGGTGAGCTTGCCATGATCTGATGTGCTTCTCTTTTAGGTCTTGTGGAATTACGGTGTTACCATAAGACGGTAGTGATGCTGCAAGCTTAGAAACAGATGCTTCTTGCTTAGAGAAACAAGAGCCTTGGAAAGCTTGCATCTGTTTCTCGGCTTGCAGTCTGATGAAGATGTTTCCAATGATGTGACTCGGGTGGTAGGAGGAAATAGACGCAGTGATGTTGGTAATGGTGTTAAAGATTCGTTCTTGCTCTTCGACATTGCATGCTTTTCCACTGATCAGGCGATGTTGTATTGCAGCGTGGCTGGTGATGTTATGATAATAATTGCCATACAGCTTACGGGTGGTAATTTCCTTAAGCTTGAATCCAAGTTCTTCTCTACACAAGATGCCATGATACCATGTCATGTTGCGCATGCGAAGAACAGACTTAGGAGTTCTCTCCGCTTCTGAACTGTAAGCAATTCTTTGAATTTGCACCAGCGTGGTCAAAAGGTGCTGAATCAGCTTCGAACTGATAATCTTGAATGATTGTTTTGCAAGGATGATAAGAGCACAACGATAATCAAATGTTCGTTTAGTTTCCTTCCCACCAATTGTACAAGTAATAATGTCCTTGACAGCAATAGCCTCTCTTTCAGGAAGGTGATGTGGAAGTTCAGTGAGAATGTTTTCAATATGTTTTCCGATGTCATGAAGTGGTTCAAAGCTAAGTATCTCGTACTTGTCACAGTTGATGGATTGGAGAATTGATGTTGGGTTTGCGTAAAGTAATGCTGGTACTCGTTGAACCCCTCCGTAAATCCTCTGCCAAGATCTTCTCAAGTTCATTTTTTTTATCACCCTTATAATTTCCTCTGGCGTTTAGTTCTCGAATAAGTTCATCCTTCTTTAGTTTTTTGAATGGCTTGGGAGATTTTGCCAGGGAATTTTTTCTTCCTAGAGGACCGGCGAGCACTATCTGCTGTCTGTCAGACAACGACAGGTAGTGGCAGGAAAAACAAATGTCCAGTTGATATGCTTGTTGTGCATTTGCACCACATCCTGAACAGTAAAAATTGCCTCGTTTCTGTTGACCAGCCTCAAGTT